CTAGAATCCACTGTTGTCTATAACATATTGTAACAAGTGCAGAGGAGCTGCTGTTGCTTGTTAAACTGGTGACTGTGTGTTGGCTGAGAAACACAGGTATCAAGCATTGCTTTCTTTTCTGGCCAGTCCTCTTCTAAAAGGAGAGACTGACTCCATTCAAGCTAAAATCCACCTGTTTCAAGGAAACATTGGTCTTACTGTATTATGTGTGGATTGTATATTGTGTCTAGATTGCACCAGGGGTGGGGAATTGTGTTCAGGGAACACAATGACTATTCAGTATTCTGTGTCACCTGAGGCCTGGACTGTTACTGCAACCAGAGGTCAACTGGGCTTGACTGCCTAGACCCCACTCTCTGTAAACATGAGGGCTTATAAATCTCTCTCACCCCTCTGGTGGTATCTGATCTCTGAATAATTTATGCCTCCCCCTCTTCCAATCAGCTAAGATTCAGCACAGATGAATCCCTTCTGGAGCCTACTCTGACATCCTCTAGGTGTTCAGGTATAGGGCTTACTCTGTTTTATCAGCATCCTGTCTAGACTTTCCCTTTGAACTCCTGTATCTTCCTGACAGGGTTAACTTATGGTCCTGTCCCTCTTGACTCTGAGCTCCTAGACAGTTGGGATCATGTTTATATATATATATATATGTATATGTATAATTTTACCATCAACTTCTAATCTTCCTGACAGGGTTAACTTATGGTCCTGTCCCTCTTGACTCTGAGCTCCTAGACAGTTGGGATCATGTTTATATATATATATATATATATATATATATGTATGTATAGTTTTACCATCAACTTCCAATCTTCCATACTAAGATGTTCAATAAATGCTGATTAAATATGTGAATAAACTGATGGGCAGGGAGGGTGGATGGATACATGGATGGATGGTCGTGGATGGGTGAGTGTGTATGAATTGACGTGTAGATGGATAGATAGAAAGAAAGAAGGTGGCATGTGGTAAAAGCCCAGTGAGGCTGTGACAAGTCAAGTGTTATAGGCAGAAGAGGAAGCACAGATGGCACAGACCAGCCATATCCTGAACAAACTCATGAGAAAACTAATGTCAGGAAGAACAACCTTGAGAAGATCCTGTTCTTTCGTAGCACTTTTCCTTATTGCTTTTCTTCAGACGGCCTGAAAGAACATTCACCAAAGTCACGTAGTGAGAAGCATGGTCTGAATGGTGACTATTATGGGCAGAAGAAAAGACACCCTCTCCTGCCTTATGTTCCTGCCACTTGATTATAAGTTAGAGACCTCAAGGCAGAGGATGGCTCATGTTTGCTTCCTGACTAATCTCATCACAAAATTATTTCCACTAGTACACAGTCCCCACAACTCTAAGTTATGTCAAGATTAACACCTAAACTTTCAAAATAGCTCTGACATGACATTCTTTTTACAGAAGGGCACATGGGTTGTATCAGCCACACCATCACCAGGGACTTGGATGCTGAGGACAGGCCCCACAGCCAAGTGTTGAAGGGAGTGGGCAGCCCTGATATTTATCTGCTGATAAATGTACGAGGGGACTCAGAAGGGAATTCCAGAACCTTCTTTAGATAAAACTTCCAAACCACCAGATCTGCAGCCACTGGAACTAAATATAGCTTGGTTTAGTTGGGAAAACATTGGTCTGGGCGTCAGAAAATGCGGGGCCCTCATTCTGGGTTAACGGGCGTAAGGCCCTTGCCCTCTAACCTCTGCACCTCTCTGAACATCACTTCAGTCTTTTGTGCATTGGGGATCGATGGAGCAGCACTTCTTTGATCATGGGATAAATGATAGTCCCAAAGGAGATAATGGATATGAAAGTACTTGGTGAAAGCCCAGCCCCAACTCAGGAGATGGAGAGAGGGAGGGTCATGATAAGAAAGCAGCCATACAAGAGACACTCCCCAATTGCAGTTTTAGCAAAAAAATAATCCTCCCACACTCAGCCCTTTGATGGTCTGGGGGTGGCCTTTTGGTGAAGAGATGATTTCCTTTGTTCTGCAGCCCTCTAAGTTGCTGGAAAATAGTCAGCCGAGCCCTCCCTGCACACCTTCCCTCCTTGCTCTGTGATTTATGACTGTCTCATCCATGGTTAATGCAGATAAGACCCAAGTTTTAGCCAGAAATGTGTGCCACTATTTTTGTAGACAGGAGCTTACCCAAGCCACAGGATAAATAAAGGTGGCTATTTTGCATCTTTAAAAATAGTGTATTTTAAAGATTTTTAAAAATATAGTACAAATAATATATGTTGAGTGTGATGTGCCAAGCTATATTTTATTTATATTATTTAATTTACTACACATAATACTAACCCAGCGAAAGAATCATCATGATCCCTATTTTTAAAAAATTATTATTGAAGTAACATTGGCTTACATAGTTGTTTGTATTTTGGAAGTGTTGGATCTCCCCTCCAGATGTTACCTACTACCAAAGTACCACTACTGCTCCCTTCCTCCTTTTTCATCCTTCTCCTTCCCCTCCCTTCTGGATTCCTTAGTTCTATAGTCAGCTTTCAAGGGTTAGTTTTTAAGTTTGGTTTTATGTGACCCTTTGTTTGGTTTCTCGACAACCCACATACCATCTGGCATTTCTCCTTCTGACTTCACACTTAGTATAGTACCATCTTGCTCCATCCACATTGTATAAATGACATGAGTTTATCTCTTTTCATTACTGAGTAGTATTCCATTATGCCAATATACCACATCTTCTTGACCCACCCATCTGTTTTGGGACTCTAGATTGTTAGCCTAGCTCGGCCATTGCATCATCTCCATTTTACAGAAGTCATTTATGTTCACAGAGACTATGTATCAAGCTCCCAGAACTACAATAAACAAAGCCAGGAGCCAAATCCTATCTTATTTCATACAGAATCCATGATCCCATGTATTATGCTCTCTTTCCTTAAAAGTAATAATAGTATCTGGAGAAAGACAATAAGAAGGAAGATTTAGAAGCATATATTTAATTGAAAATTAAAAATCCAAAGGACTTAAACAATTACATCCTTCTCCCTCCTCTCCCCTCCCCCGCTGCTCAGTCCCTTCATAGAACCTGAACATCCCTTGAGGTACTGGATCAAATAAAAGGTGTGTGATTGACAGTTCATGAAGGTCAAGATGTACCACTTCAAAAAACAAATATGGCCAATTTTTGTGCACTGAAAAGTTCTACATCTGAAGGACAATATGATGTATGCAATTATTAAAATAATAATGATTAGTAGTAGTAGTTATTACTTCTTCAAGTTCTTTCAAAGGAAGAGTCAAGCAGGATAGTCAGTCATCATCGTTTGCTCTTCAGAGTTTGGCAATTTTGTATCCCCATGTAAGTGTCTCCAAAAACCAACCAAACTAAGCACACATATATTTTTAAATTCTACCACTTAATATAGTGATCCAACTTATTTACATGGAATAAAATTATCATAATTTAGCTAAATTGTTCATTGTAAAACCTTTTATTTCTTAAAAGGAAAATATTATACTTTGGACTATATGAGAACCTTTTCTTTTTCCAGCTTTGGCCTTTTGAATCATACATACCATTTTATATTTTAAAATCAACAAACTGAACATCAGATTTACCCGAGCCCCACTAGTACTTCTCTCACTTGTCTATTAGCAAATGTATGTAACAATAACGATCCCATTTGATTATAGTGAAGGGGAAATTAAATGTGATCATTTACAAAAGTTTTTGGACACACAAAAGCTACTAAAAAAAATAGAAGTGCCATCTCTATAGTCTCCAAATTTATGGCTTTATATGATGAGGTTTGAGTAATGAAGTTAGTTTTTTGGGATCAGCAAGATACAGATTCAAAAATCATCTCTGCTTTCTACCTACTGTGTGACATTGAGCAAACAACATCTCAGTCTCTGGGAATTTCCCTTTCTTCTTCTGCCAAAAGGAAAGGATTCTATTTTGTAGGAAATCTGTCTGGCTCAAAATAACATATATAAGGTATGGAACATAAGTATAGTAGGTGTAAATAATGGTCATTTTGTTTATCTTTAGATAGAATGATGTAGCCTATAAAATAGAGTTAACAATTTAGCTTTATGATTGTCTCATTTAGTCCTTTTTTATGCTATGTTTAGGTCTAGCTAGCGGGCATATTAAAAGCTCCATAACAAAACTGAAGCAGAGTACTTATCATTTGCAGCTCCCCTATGTACTAGAGCACCCCAGCACAGTTGTAGCCCAACTTTGCCCCAAAGTGTTGGAAAGGTTACATGACTCAGACAGATGTAGTAGGCATGAAATTACAGGCTAAGAGGAAGAGGTCGGGGCTGTGGGCAGTATATTGGACATGCTCACACACTGCAAGCCTTGTTCCGGGTCCCTTACAAAGCACCTCTTTAGGATGAAAACAAGATGTCCTTTGTAAATAAAAGTTCATGCGTTTGAGTAATGAAGTCATTTTCCATAACTGTAGTGAAAGATATTCTTCTCCCAGACTCTCTGGGTGAGGACTGTGGACAGGAAGAGAGATGACCAACCAGTCTCAAAGGATGATATTAACACAGGGGGGCAGGCGCCCATGGCTAGAGAGTGAGAAACTTGGCTTGTGAAAGTGGGTGCTCTCCCACTGAGTTCTCCCTCTGCCTCCCAAGAGCACCTAGCTGAGAGCACCTAGCTCTGGCCCCAACCCCTAGAATCCCTTTTCCACCCACTTTCCTGAAACTAACCAGGGCCACAGAAAAGATCTACATTAATAAGATAAGACATCATCTGACACCTTTGCTAAATAAATAAGAGCTGTGGGGAAGCAATCACAAAAGTCGAATATTCATCTGGGGTCCTTGGAGGAGTTCCCGACTCAAAGGAGAGGGGTGCCCAACATAAAAAGCCAACCCTGCCTCTAGCGCCACAGAGTTGAACTGGGAGGGGCTGGAAGTGGAAGGTAAAAGGGGAGTGGCGAGATGGGTGTGGGAATGAAGCCAGAGCAGTGCAGACCCGCCGGGAAAGGGAAAAGGGTAATAACCAGGTTCGCTCGCGGGCTCACCGAATCCTTTCTGCCTTTGATGATTTGCTTTAAGCTCCAACCATCTGTAAGTTCTTGAGCCCGAGCCTTTGGAGAGAAAGAGGAGAGAGGGAGGGAGGGAGGAAGGGAGGGAGAGAGAGAGGGCGGGAGGAAGGGAGAGAGACTCGCTAACTCTCACTCTCCCTTTTTCACGCTAAGTTGCTCTGGGCTTCCTGGAACCCCTCCTTCCCACATCTGGATATAGCAGACTCAGAGAAGGTGAAATAACCCAAGCACAGCCGCACCACTGGGGGTGCCGAAGAGGACGAACCGTGACCGAACGCCTGGAAGAGCCTTTCAGCCGAGAGATGGCTCGGAGCTCGGTCTGGAGCTCACTTCTGCCTCTGGGGCTCCTCTGGGGCGCTGTCTGCTCAGGCTCGGCATCTGGGGACGAAAACGCTTTTCCTTTTGACATTGAAGGGAGCTCAGCCGTAGACAGACAAGACCCATCCGAGACCAGCGAGCCCCACACCGCTCCCGGAAACCTGCTGCCGACCGCTGAGGTACTGTGTCTGCCATTGTCACCCTTCGGGGGCACCTTAGTCCCCAGGGCTGAATGTGTCATGCTCGGGTCCCTCTCGCCCTTCTCCCCTCACCTTCCTCCCCTCTTGGAGAGTTTTACCTAACTAGGTCTGTCCAGAAGCCTAAAATAGTTTTACTTTGCAACTTGGATTCGGTCCTTGTGAGCTGAGAGAGTGCAGGCTTTGGAACTTGTCACTTGGAGCTTGGCAGAATGCACGTGCCCTGCCTCAGCTTGTCAGTCCCTGTGCTCAACTGGGGCTGCTCCACACCTGTGACTTTGGCCACTCGCGTGTCTCAGAAGAGTTATTTTTGTCAAGCCACAGCACTGTGTGTGCGCGCTGTCACTGACTTCCTAAGTGTCTGGGACGCTAGGACAGCAGGAACAACAAAGCAGGACCAGTCCTTTTGTCCCAAATTAAAGTTCTTACCCATAGGAGAGCATAAAGGTGGGAGTGCCAGCCATGGGCCTGGAAAGAAGATGTTAGAAGCTGCAGAGCAGCTATCTTCAATAGGCACGAATCTTTATATTCTAGAAACAAGAAATGAGAAAGTCAAGCCCCTCGTCCAAAAAGTAAAAAATGACCTGGATATGCTATTGATACTTTTATTCGGAGTTGCAGTTTGACTACTTTACAATAGTTTTTGTGTTGAAAGCTTAACCGAAGTGTGGAAATAGGGTTATGGAGGATAAATCTAAAGTAAGTGATTTAAGAGCCCCATGAGCTGAAAATGACAACAGCATGTCCAGTGCGTGGGAGATGCTAAGTAGGAGGAAAATGAAGTCTCCTAAGTTCATGGGAAAGGAAGGAGCAACTGACCTAAACACACACACACACACACACACACTACAGCTATGGTTACAGAACTATAGGACAAAAGCAGTAGTGTGTTTTGGCATCATTTCTAACACTGAAATGATTACTTATTGTTAATTCTTCTAATGGTGGTATAACCATAGTCATTCATTATTACTGATAATGTAAGGATAACAAAGGTGGTCTTTCTCCAGATAGGTCTTTTTCCTACCTGTGCCCTCCAAAAGGAAAAAGTGGGTAGGGCCAAAATAGACCAACCTCCCATTCTGATATAAGAAATGCAGAATGTACCCTTCATGAGAAAGAGGAGAGCTGCCTTCTGGTCAGCCCTATAGTACCTAGTAATGGGGAGAAGCTGATCCAGAAGACACTCCAGACACTGCTTCTATAGAAGCTTGGACTTATCCCCCAGGGTGCATTATCTCCACCTGTTGCCTTAAGCATGGAAAGTCCCTGAACGAAGTTACTGATTTAAAGGTAGGGTGATCTGATCAAATACAAATGCCCAATTAATTTTAATTTCAGATTAACAACAAATAAAATTTTGACTATATCTCAGATGTTGCATGGGATGCATTTATACTACAAATATATTTATTGTCTATCTGACATTCAACTTATTAAGTAGTATTTTTATTTACTGATTCTAAAAACATGTACACACATAACTTTTTAACTTTCATCCCATGAAAAGGGAGAAAAGAAGTATTTGATTTGTAGGGAAACTTAATCTATTATAGGAGACCCTGACAATTTCTTATATAATCAAATTTTCAGAGAAATAATGGAAGGATGGCAAGCAGAGTACTTAGATGGGGTCAGAGGACCCCAAGTTTAAACTTACCCAAATTTCAGATAAACAATGGCTTAAAGAAGTTACTTGATGTGTAGTACATACTTGATATAATTACTGTGATTAAAATAGATTTTTAAAAAAATCTAGATAGAGTACTTAGCACAATGCCTGACATAGTACAAATGTTCCATCCTAAGTGATATTAATATTACTATAAAATATCTAGTTGACTGGCCTAAAAGAAACTCCTATTAGGGAATACTTCTCAGAACTATACTTTTATGGTGCTATTTTACTTAAGGCTGCTATATCTCTGTCTATATCCTTCCAACCAGAAAGAATGTCCTATAGTAAGTTAAATTTATCACAGTGGCAGTATCTAATAGGGTCAGAATGCCAGTCGAGGTTTTTGGTTTAAGGAATAGAAAGACGCTATTACATTCCAGGAGGGTCAAAGAATATGACGTCAAAAGGGTAGGATTAAGGTAATGATGTCCACAGCATAGTCTCATATAACACCCCCAGTTACCCTGCGGGCCCACAGCAGTGCCAGTGCCTTTACAGCCAGGAAGGAGACCTTAAACCAGACCTTTGTGGAGATTTAATGACATGGTACACCCCTCCCCTGAGTTGGTTCAGAGCACTGTATATACATCTTGTGAGAGAGAACACAAACACACATAATACTTTATTCGTGGGAGGTTTGAGATGTGGATGGAAAGCTATTCTAAAAATACATGCCTTTTATTTGGTTTGGATTTATATGAATGGTTATTCTTCAATTCTCCTTCAAAGGGAAGGAAAAAAATATAAGGCAAGCCGGGAGCAGTGGGAGGGACTTGGCTGAAGGCCTTCCTAAGACTCTCCCAAGCTCTTCCACAGCAGGGCTACTGTGCTCTCTCCACCCCTGGCTGTTGGACCTATGACATGAACTCCAGAACACTGTAGTGCTCAGTGTGAGTTCGTGGAACAAATACATTAAATATGTGATGAATAGAAGGTGGAAGAGCTCAGCTGACCAGAAGGAAGTTCCCTCCTTTCCTTCTACAAGCCAACTTCCCCCAGGCTGCAAAGAATTTGAAAAGGAGCACCCATGGGTGCTCTGTGTTAATGGGAAGGATTTGCCCATCTTCTGCTTGTTTACAAGCAATTTACTGAATCCATCCTTGTGACGTTTGTGGTGATCTTTCCGGAGGTGGAGGTGGATACTGGAGACACTAGGAAGCTTTAAGTCTATTCAGTATTCTAACATTTCACAATTTAGAAAAGACAGTCTTTATTTCATCCTACACATGATAACAAGTAAAATGAGAAAAAGTCTCTCACTGATATGCATATGCAAAAGAATGGGAGAGGGTGCAGAGACAGAGGTGGAAATGACCCCCTCCCCCACCTAGAGAAGATATCAACGTGACCTTGGGAGGAGAGACAGACAACCCTGTTATCAAAAGGAAGCAGAAGTTAAGTAAGCTCAAGAACACTGTTAGCAGTGGGTGCTGCTTGGCTGCTAAGAAGTCACACAGGGACCCTAGAGGAGCACAGAGAACTCTGCTGGGAGGGCAGAGTAGGAGGCAGGGAGGGCTGTCTTGGGTGGGTCATTAGGGAACTAACTAAGTAAGAACACAGAATGGAAAACAGTAATTTATCTCTTAGTAACCTGATTAGGTGTCGCTGCCATTCACTTTCCTCCAAGAAAATCAGTGCTACACACACAACACATGTGAACATGGATCCTACACTAGAAAAACAACTTGCTTTAAAAAAATCACTATGAACTAGCTAGTTCTGAGCTTTTCCTCTAGATTTTTTTTTTCATTGTTGATAATGTGCTTGCCCACCCTAACACACAAGCTCCTGGTCACTGAAGGATTGCAGAATGTTTAGTAAAAGATAGTTCAGATTTCTTTATCTGTTGTCCTTTTCCTTATCTAGCCTCTTACTTTGAGAAAAGTCCCTGTGGGCTCACATGAAGATCTCCATGCACTGACCCAGGGCGTCATTACACTACTGCGGAGCAGTGTGATTGGGTGAATGGAACCCTAACACAGAGACGTTGTTTCGTCCACCTACCATTCACCCTATAAGTCGCTTCAGAACCTTACCATGTACAGAGCAATAAAGCCAGCTCCAGTAATGACAGAAAGACACGGGAAAAAGAGTAAGCAATTCAAGAAAGAAAAATATGTGTGTCGCTACTGTAATAAAGCTGATGGGTGGGTGAATGTTCTGTAAGAGTGACTACAAGTTAAATCTGTGGGGGTAGTGTGGGAAAAGGACTACTCTTGCACTAGACTCACAAATACCAAAAGTTCCTTGAAAACACTATTTTAGAAAGACTGGAATATAGTAGTGATAGTGGAAAGAATAATAGCAGGGCTTAGAGCTAACATTCAGTCAGTGTTTACTGCATGTCAGTCAGTAGTGTTAGCACTCTCCATGAATTATTCTCTTTAAACTTTGTGACAATTCAATGAGATTGGAAATGTTATTACCTCCTTTCGCAAGCAGGTACAGACCTCAGAGCCCCTTCCTGGTCATAACAGTTAAAAAGGAACTTTTAAAAGAAGTTGAACTGTGCAGGGATATTTAGGAAAAGTTGGTTAGGTTAGTAGAACTATTTTTGCTGAAATTTTGGGAGTTTCTTAAAATGAAGGTAGATAAAATGCTACTCAAAGGCTGCTTATGCATTGCTTACTGGGTAACTGGCTAAATTGCCTAAAATTACCAAAGAATCAAAAAAAAAAAACTTTACTTTTCCATCTAATCTAGTAACTAGTTTTTAAACTCCTCATATAGGAAAAAAAAAAAAAAGAACGCTTACTGACTTCTATTATGTCCTATGATGAAGCTACATCTATTATTCTCTTTAATATTCAACAGTGAAAATTATACCCATTTTACAGATGAACAAATTGTTATTGGATATGGTAAGTACACTTTTCCCAAAATTTCCAAATTCCATTGTCCTTTGCCATTACAACCCTTGGCCTCCCAAAAAGAGATATTATTTTTAACTATAGAGCTCTTTTGGATACCATTTCTGTTTTATATACGTATTTTAGTATATTTCTTCCACCAGGCACTATGGTATATATTAGAAACACCTGATTGAGATTAATACACAGGAATCCAAAGCAGCATCACCTACAGGAATCCCTGGCCCATCCTACATAATTCATTATAAAGTTGCAGGTAAATAAATAGAAATTTAATTTACTATAATCTCAGAGCTCTGTATTTTTTTTTTTAAAGATCTATTTATTTGTGCATATAGAACTAGGGTATAGGCCAGAGGTGTAGGGGCAGTGAGAGGCTTCACCAGAGATAGAGTGGGGAGCAGAACAGGCAGATGGACGAAGTACACTGCTGA